CAATGAATTTAATCATTTGTTTCCTTCTTTCCTATTAAAATTAAGAAAAATTATTTGAATTACGAAGAAATGAACCGTGAAATGTAATGTGAAGTGCAGCGTGAAATGCAACGTGAAATGCAGCGTTAATGTAGTATGAAATGCAGAATAGATTTCAAATGAAACTTTTAGTATCAATCATTAAATTGGTTCGTTTATCAATATGCCAATATCAAATTTGTTTTTAATCAGTTTTTTTCTTCTATTCTAAAATTTAGCAAAATTTAATTTAAACAAACATAACTTTAATTAAAATCTATATTTGTTCGAAATAGAGACTTCCATTAATTTTAAAAGATAATTTTAAATTTTTTCAAATTTCAAAACACAAACTTAAGCTCTTGTCACTCATTATTTAATAACAAAGTTTCGAAATCATTTCTTGAATTAACTTCTCGAAATTAACAACTTTAGCACATTTAAGTTTTTGTCATTCCCAATTTGTTTATTATTCGCATTTTTTAATTTAATAATTTTTGGCTGTCCATGTAAATATATAAATAACCGAAAAAGATTATGTTTTAGTTGCTTATAAGTTTAAATATCCATTCTTGCACCTGCTAGCTTAGTCTTTGTCCAAGTCTATCTTGGTCATTATTCTTTTTGTTTCCAATTACATCAAGTAACTTTGAATTTTTTACGCTAAAATGTTATTTAGATTTAAACATGTCCATTTCTAATTGAACATTATTTAATATAAATTTAAACATTTCCAGTTCAAAAATGATGCAAGAAATTTGATCATTACTAAATGTGTCTTGGCTTATAAATAAAATTATATAAAACAATCGAACTAATGAGGTATAATTGAACAGAAATTGAAATAAAGATAAAGAAATCATTTAAATGACTAATTAAGTAAATGAGCCATTGAATAAACGAGTGAACAAAAAACGAAAGTAAGCAAATATAACTTAGAGATATTGCAGAAATCGTTGCAATTTTTTAAGATGCAATTCTTTGCGATTTTTTTTTTTTCGGGAAGGAATTGAGCGCAAGTGCATGCAAATGCACGCAAATGCACATTCATATCGCGTAGCGCATTTTGTAGAAATTAACCAATTTATAGAATTGCATAGCAAGCATTAGATGCTCGCTGCTAGACGATAGGTAATTATTTTACTTTCTGACAATAATGGCACAAATTTTAAAACGTTTAACATCCCGAAATTACTTCCCGTCTTAAAATCAAATTTGCTTATTTCATTTGTCATTTTCAACTTTTTTTTACTCATAATTGTAAATTAAATGTCAAAAAATAAGATCAAAAATTAAAGAATTTAAAAAAAAATTGAAAAGGAGTAAAAAAATTTAAAAAAAGTTAAAAAAATTCAAAAAAATAAAAAGAATTGAAATGTCAGATTTTAGGTTTTTTTAAGAAACGATTCAAGTTTTCATTTTTTAAAAAATTCTATTCAAAAAAAAAGAAAGGATCACTAACTGGTTAAGTAAATATGTACTTATATCGAACTAAAAGAATGGATTCATTTCTCCAACAGAAGATATCACCGTCTGTTATTAACGAATAAAAGTTCATCATTAGTATTTGTTTATCTAATTTTCCAAATTTTTTCAAAATATTTTTGCAAAATATTCAAAATATTTTTGCGGAAGACATAAACAATACAATGCAAATGAATCATTCAATCAGATATTTGTCTAAAATTCGTACTTCTTCGCAACCAATGGCTATGAGATTTTTTTTTAAATTTAAAATATAAACTGATAAGCATTGTTTGGTTAAATAAGATATATTAAAATGTGATAAAGCCTTGCAATGAGAACTTATTAAGCAATCTAGTTTACAGTTAATGGATAATTTTGTTAATTTGTTAGAATTTTGGTTTAATTTAATTTAGCAGTTGTTTATCATTTTTTTATTTTATTAGATTGAACTAATAGGAGACGCCTAACTGCAGGATATATAGGTATTCAACTTTGTTTGTTGATCATCACTGATAATTGATTATCGATTTTTTCAAATACTTTACAATTTAAACTCTTTCTCTTTTTTTTTCATTGAACAAAATAACTTATCATAAATTTCTCTCAAAAAATTGCATAAATAAATGCATATTGTTTCATAAAAAAGAAAAAAATTCATACTAATTTAAATAATTAATTGATCTTTGAATTGTATTAGATCGAATACGAATTTGTGATTGCTTTATAAGATTTGGTAACTATCAACTAAGTGATCGATGTATAATAATTTTTTAAATATTAACAGAAAGTGTCAACGTATTATTTTTTTTTTAAATTTTACTGGAGAATTGATAAGAAATGAGCATTTTCCTTATTTATTCTTTTTAATTTGCAAACTTGTAAAATAGCATCCTTTCGAGCGCCGAATATTTTCTCTTCTACTAATTAATTAATTAATAATTTTTCTTACCAAAATATACCTAACATACCTGATCGACTCATTAATTAACTACTACATAAAAAGCAATGTTTATTGTTACATCTTACTATTTACCAAAGCGAGAGGATTATTAATTTTTTTCAATCAAGATTTATTTCATCTTAAATGTTTATCTTTTTGAATTTCTATTTGTCTTTTCATTTTTTTCCTTGCGATTTTATTTTTCAATGCTTGAAAACATTCACATTTATTTAATGTCCTTTCATTGCTTGGTTGACATTGGTTGACAGATAAAACATGTTTGCTTAGGTGTGGAACAAAAAAAAAAAAAAAGAAGAGAGACCCGAGAATAGAAAAATTGGGTTTTGTCCTTGTCCGGTAAACAGGACATGATGATTTTTGTTCATCAATTCAATAAGTGCATGTTTATCATTTCTATCATACCAACAATAAGCAGTTAAAGAATGGAAATTTAGGAAAGAAAAATTGTTCCTAAGAGATCAAGCTATTTTATCCTGGTTAAAATTGATCCTTACACTTTTTTTTTCCCCTCTCTCTGATGTTCCATTTACTTTACATTCAATATAAGCAGGTCGAAATCGATCGATAAATGTCAAAGTTCATAAAGATATTTTTATGACGGAAATTAGTTTGGGTGATTTTTTGGATCATTTCGACATGACATATCTATGTTGATACTTGAATTGAATTCTAACTGATTAATATTGAGACAAATTAGATCCTTTTGAAAGAATGTTTTTAAACTTACCGTAAAACTATTATTTATCGTCACAGGTAATCTGTTTCACAGATGATCGAAACCAAAGCGGCTCTTGTTCTGGTGATTTACTGGACAATGATGATTTTTTTTTTTCGGTTCACTTCACATCTTCTAAATATTTAAACTAAGTAATTTACATATTTTAAAGTGATTTTATCAAAATATTCATACATCATTTAGCTATTTTCTTACTAAGCATTAATTTTAAATTTTATAGTTTTTTCTTTATTTTTTGTTTTGATTTTTATAATCTTTTGAAATAAATCGTATTTAAATGATAGATCATAGATTATGATGCATACTATCTAAAATGCTAAGCTCTTTTCTTGGAGAGTTTTAATTCGTTCTTTCTAATTTTCATTCAAAAAAAAGGAAGATGACTTCAGCAGATGGCAATCATTTAGTAGTTGTCGTTAAGTGTAGTTTATGCATATTTTAAATTAGCTTTAAAGTTCTTGTTAAAGCTAAAGGTTTTATTCTTTGAAAAGCTATCTTCTACAACCCATAATATATGCAAAATTGTTACCCACACCATTCATAATCTAATATTTTTATTTCATCCAAAAATCAAAACAAAATAATAGAATATTAATTAGCAAACCTCTTATAGTTGGGACTAAATTTAGGTATAAAAGTGATATTTCCAGTTATAAATTTGGAATTTTGTTTAAAATGAATCATTTCTGAGAGCATTATAATCTAGTAGCTGAAAATTGTTGAATTTTGTACTTTCCTCTTTCAATCAAAACTAAAATTAAGTTTACTTTAATTTGAAATTAAAAATATATTTCATCTGTTCACACCTTTATATATGTAAAAAATCATTTGGGAAACGATACGGTTTCGTAAACATTATTCTTTCCCATTTTCATCATCTATTTTTATTATCGACATTTTTTCATTCGTTTATTTTTAATGATCAGAGATCATCGGTCTCTCTTTAATGTCAGTAAACAAAATTTGCAATCAATTATCTAAAATAATGACTTCTCGTCTAAATCATTTCCTAGATGTGTACTGTTGAAACTTTCGATTTTTAGGAATTTCTCAGAAAATTATTTTGATTTTTTTTTGCAAAAAAAAAAGAATTAATTCATTTTTATGGATTCTGTTGAATAACATAATGCATTTTAATGTGACATATATACATCTCATCCTTCCTTCTATTCTTCTTTTTGCAATCGTTGCTTTTGGCTTCCACTTCTTTTTTTTTTCCCATTTGAATGGATAATTCTTTGAAATTTACATCTTTCCGCATAGTTGCGCGAAATCTTTCACAAAGTTCACTCATCTTCATGAATTTGAAATTTTTACTAATTAAAAATTTTTGTAAGAGAAAAGAAATGGTATAGAATGATAATATTTTTTTTTAGCATATGATAATTTGAATTTATTTTTCTCATAATTTAATTGGCAAATATATGCATAAGTCCTCCTCCTACATCCAATTCGCCTTTTTTCCCTATTTTCATAGTATTGTCTAATTTAAGAAAATTTGCAACCAAATTTTTGAAACTAAAAAATAAAGGAAATTTGACAAACTAACAACGATGACAAATAAAACGACTCGTAGAGAAGTTAGCTTTAAAATTCTTGACAATTCTTTTACTTCAAAAGCGTATGTTTTAGAAAGTTAATAAGTTGAAAAAAGATGTGATCTTGCTCTTTATCCTATCATTATTATAGAATTTACAAATATCGTTTTGTTTACTCATTGACTGTATTAAAAGATGTTGGAAAAATCCTTTTGAACTATCAAAAAATAAGAAAAGTTTTCAAATCATGAAAATAAATGAACTGATTCATTATTTCCTTTTTCCGTATTTTCATTTTTTTTTTTTAAAAATTGAATTTGAATACTTATTCTCTTTCACTATGACTCATCCATTTCTTGATATTTTTTTCTTTTTTAAAAAAGATACTTTCTCAATGACATCATAACGTCCTTTTCGATGTATTCAGTCATTGGCAAAAGACATTTTCTATTGATTGTGAAGTTCACATATATTTGATAAGCCTTTGTGTGTAATCGAGCAAAGGTCATGCTGTTATCATTATCATTATGATCCAGTTCATCATTCTATTTATGAAGTAACAATCCACATTCGTGTAATTCAATTTTTTTTTTTTTTCCTAGACGTAAAAAAGTGCGCATGAACACATCCCGTTGAGATAACGGATGATTCATTAATAGTGTGAAGGTCATGTTTAATTCATCTATTTATTACTCCCATATTTTATTTCCATAGCAACCCGACTCGATCTATGTTTTAAATTCTTTTAAACGGTACATTTCCGTAATGATCATTTTCACTGATCTGTCTAATTTCTTCATAAATCACTTAAATTTCAGACAATTTTATATCCGTTATTGTCATTTCGGTGTAAAAATGCAACAAATTCTGAAGTGAAGAATTGGAATTTTTTATTCTTCCGGAAATTTCACTACAATCTTCTGCTGAAAATTTCTAATTATAAAATAGCTCTTATCATCTTATCCATAAAGCTTTCTTAATGTCGCGAATCGGATTGTTTGGGCAAATTTCCGAGGTTACTGACCATTTATTTCTTTCTGGAGCCGGTGTTCTGAAACTCGAAAAATTACGTGAAAAGAAAATTTCATGTATTGTAAATGCAACTGTTGAAGAACCATCTACTCACATTCCTGGTAATTATTATCATTATTTATTTTGATTGTTAATTTGAATGAAATTGCATCTGCGTAGGATAAAAATGAAATCGAAGGATGAGGCAATGATGTCTATCCTCAATCATTGATATTTAAGCCTAATTTGGTAACACTTCTTCTTGGCTCATATCTATTACTAGACCAATTAATTAATTCTCGTCTCAATCTTTTTCCCTACTATCTTCCATCTAATCTTTTGTTCTATTTATACTGTTTTAAGTAAAATTCGAGAAATTTCTTTAAGGGATTGACTACTTGAGGATCTCAATAGAAGATAGTCCCTATGCAAAAATTGATCAATATTTTGATATTGTTGCAGACAAAATCAAAGCAGTCAAGGTGAATGAATTTAATTAACTGTTTGTTTTTTAATTCATTGAAATGATAATACAACTTTTAGCCACATCATTTTCTTCCTTTATTCTGCACGATGGACTTAATTATTTAACACTTTAAAAGTTTCTGATCATGAAATAATTAATTTAAAATTTACAATCTAAGTATAGCGTGGATTTTAAGTAATCATTTCAAGACTGAAATAAATCCAAGATATGCATTTAATAACTGCTAGGCTTAAATTATTTTAACTATTTTAGAACAAGTTGTATTATAAGCATTTCAGGATAGGGGTGGTCGAACTTTAGTACACTGTGTAGCTGGAGTATCACGATCAGCTACCCTGTGCATGATATATCTAGTGAAGCATGAACGGATGACATTACGTCAAGCATATCACTTTGTTAAATCAGCTCGACCTGTTGTGAAGCCTAATGTAGGCTTTTGGAGACAAATGATCGAATACGAACGTAAATTAAAAGGTCATTCGACTGGTTCTTTAATTTACGCAATTGCTTTATTGTAATTTTACTTTAAATTTCTAATGAAATTTCAATTTGATACGAAGCATTTAATACAACATTGAGAAGGGTTGAATATTAAAATCTCTATTCTCATTTTTATTTCATTTATTCAAATTTTTTTGTTTAAATGATTTCTATATGAATACCTTTATGAGACTAAAAATGAAAAAAGTCTTATTTTCCATAATTGTCAGAGTTGAATTCATTAATTGATTTTAGATAAACTCTATTAATTAATTTCAGGTTCCAGTTCAGTGCAAATGGTAGAAACAAATCAAGATGGTATGACACTTCCAGATGTATATTGCTCAGAATTGAAACGACGATTGATCCAAAATCATTCGTTACCAAAGGGTACCTGTCGAAATATCACAATTACTCAACTTCCTTTCAAATACTCACAGACCTCGTTAGTCATTGTTTTGTAATTTACGCATGGGAAATAAATGAACGAAATAGAAAGATTGCTGCAGAACGCGTAATTTCCCAACTTCATATTATCCATTTTAGCATTCGATGATATTTACATACTTTTTGGTTCTCCAAATGTTATCATTGATTTCCCTCTTCCACCATATTTCTTTTTCAGGACATTCGGTCGTCCAATGAGTTCATCTTATCGGCGATCCACATCACCCTCAATTATACCATCACTTTTTTCGCTTCCATCACGACAACATTCACCCTTCTCAATGCTAACATCAACGCTCAGTCGACGACGCACCAATGATCTGTTCGATTCTTATCACTCAACTTTTTCTACATTCTAGTTGATATAATGATAACATATTGATTAACATAATTCAGTGTAACAAAACAAAAACAATTCCTGATATTTTACACTATGTTTTGATAAAGTTGTTAGAGAAAGTTTATTGATTGAATCGATTGAAAAAAAAGCGGTTTGTTAAATAGTATCATATGTTTCCTTTCAAAAAGCCTGGACAAATCCATCTGAAACCATTATCGTACTGATTGCTGGATGTACCGGACAATCCTGGTAACGTTGATTTGTTACTCCTAAAGTACATTGTCAACGAGAAAAAAAAAAGATTAAAATTTCGATTAATTGTTCACAACGCTCTAGTCCATAAACAATCCGTTTTTTCTATTCATCCATAATTTCCGTTTCTGTTCCGGCAATACGCCATATAATGTTTCCGTTGATGAATAATTTATCGTTAAAAGTTTATCAAAGTTTCGATTTTTCCAAGTAAAAAGAAAATAAAATGAAATTTTATGAACGGACAATTTATGATGACGTGCAACATACATATTATTGTTTGCAATTATTATAATTATGTACCTTATAAAGAGCTAACCATTACAGTATGCATATACAATATGTATCACAAAGACGTTTATTTTTTGTTTGTAATTTACTGATAAAAAAGGAAAATAGAAAATTAGGGAAATGTTGTCACCAAATTAAAAGAAAAAAGCATAATGTTGATGAAAATTATGTTGCTTACCTAGCAAGCTATCAAATGTCAAAGGGCACGCCTGAACACATTCCACGGATTCTATGAAAATTGAAAGCAAACATGAATATTTCTTTCAGATCAAACAAAAATACTGAATATTTGTGATTTAATATTTTAAAGAGCTTCAAACATTCTTTAGTACTTGTATAAAAGATAGCGAACATTTTTCATATTAATTAGATTGTTTGATTGCAGTAAGTCTAGATATTCATAATCTTTCTTTTTAACTTTTGAAATATATGAAATTACTACCATTATTATTTTTTTTTAATATTGTTATTCCTTCACAGTGCAAACGCTATAAATCGTAAACTTTGACACTGTGATTTTCGTGGTAATTTAGATCATTTATATTAATCTTCCAATAACTATTTCATTATTTTGCGCAAAACTACAGTACACATAATTAATTCACTGTATCCAAAACGTCTGATCACTTTCGAAAGAAAAATTGCCTCAAATTTGCATGAATAAGCTTTTGAAGGATTGATATGATATGATTTATGATTTAACAGAAGTTAATATTGAAGCTAGAAACTTGCTGAATGTAAAAAATCACACAATTGTTTTAACCATTTCATCTATTCTCAATTATTCTCTGCTGAATTATTTAATTTATAATGCAAGGAATTCATTCATAATTTTTAGAATAAACGGATAAAAAGTAAATTGAGAAAAAAATCCCAAAATATAAATGAATTTTCAATGGCTCGTCATTGCTTATCCAACAACATTTCATTTATTTCCTTTACTTCGAACATTATTAAACTGTAAATTGATCCCCGCATCTTGCACCGGAAATTCTTTGTAAATTCTCTGCAAAATAAAATGAATGAATTAATATACAAGAATGATTCTTCCCGAAAATTTTCGAATTTCGAAATTTTTTAGCTTCGATTGCGCAATTACTGAATGGCTAAAACTTGTTTCTTTTTTTTACAAAAATAATTCTTAGCAATTGACTGACATTATTGCAAAACACTTGGTACCTTTTCACTTATATTTGACTCAAATTTAAATATAAACAAAAAGCAATAATTCGATCATTCAAAATTTTCGTCTTCGCTAACTTTTGTCACTTTAAAAGTTGACAAAGAAATTGAACTTAAGATATTTGTTGCATATGAAGATTGAATTCGAAATGGGTTATGAAGTGATAAAAATGCATTCATTTCAGACTTGAAACTTTTGAAGAAAAAAAATCACAGTAATCGTAAAAATCATACAATTTCATTGTTGCTTGGAACTCTTGAAAGGAAATCGAGAAGCTCATTATTTGGTATAAAATTTGGATTGCGCAATTTTTTCGTGAACTTATTAATACCTGAAGTACCAAATTAGCAAGGACAATTAACCGTATAAGACAGCACTTTTATTAATTATTGCATTCTTAGGGAAGCGCAATTAAAAGTAATATTTCAAATTCAAAAAAAAATTTCCTGAAAATTTTCAAAATTAAAACTAAGAACGAAGGGTATAATGAATTAATTACTTACCCCAAATCATAACAATCCATCTTAGTGGCACAAAATAAAGCAAAATGGTAATAAGAGAAAGTGTTACTATAGCTAACGTTGAAAGATACGGTTGCGTGAAGTTGAACGTGCTGAAAATCACAAAACGTATGTCATATTTTATTATATCTGATGCAGTTATTGCAAACGAGCAAGAAATTTTGTTAAAAGTTTTCAATTTTTTGAATTTAAAAAAAAGTTAGGGAATACTGAAGTTGAATGAAAATGTAACAATACGATAAATCTTTTGAAAGCAAGAGAATTTTAAAAAAATTTCAGTCAATTACTTTTGAACTCGTTCCAGTAGTGATGCAACAAAATCCATCGTATTCTGTACTTTAGCCATTGTATCTTGAAAGGTGTTGAAGCGTTCACGGATTGACGATGATGACTGTCCATTCTGGGAAAAAAAAATGTCATAAAGGTAGTGAGAGAACAGACAAAAATACTGTATAAGAGAAGGAGATTCGGATAAATATATTTGTTTGGACAAATACAGAGGATTGCAATTCATGAAAGGATCACGAATGATAAGCAAATGCTTAAATCTTTTCTTTAATACTTTGTTAACATGTTTCAAATGAACTTCTCAAACTTTAATTTCTAAATTATATCTCGAAATTATTGTTAAGTGAAGATTTTATTGAGTCAAATTATTGAATATTGTATTACCGTATCAATGAAGTCAGGCTCTTCCTCGGATTCCGAAACCGACTTGCTGCTATTCTTATTTGATTTCGAAGATTTGATTTTATAAGGTCGAAGGAAGAAAAGCAATATAATGATTGGAATGTGGTGAATGTGGAAAAAGTACACGAATATTATAAAAACCTGAAAAAAAAATAAATAAATAACGAAAATAGAAATGCTCTCTGTAAAGATTACTAAGCTGCTTGGAATTTTTGCTTAAATTCAGAAGCTTCTTTTATACTAAGTCCTATTTGTTTGATTCCAAAGCAGTAATATTTAAAATGAAAAATGAAATTTCAGACTGAATCTTTTCGGTTTTTTTGTGCTCCTTCAGACTTTCAAATTTTATCTTTTGAATGGAATCATATTATTAACTATGCAAAATACAAAGTGTTAAACTATAGATATAATGATTACTTTCGATTGAAATATTTGGTACTATTTGAAAACTGATGCAACTGTCACTGTTTAACAGTGATCTATAAGCGATAACAGATGATAATCACATCTAGGCGCTTTTTATTATATAACGACTTATTCTTAGAATGCAATTTATTCCTTTGGAAATTACCGGATTCCGAAAATTGTTAGATTCCATTTTCATGGGACATTATTAAGAGATTGAACATTAAATTTCCATAGAACATTAGAACATTTAATTGTATAGTTACCCTTTAAATCCCAAAATTAAAAGCTATGTCTGCGAAAATGAATTTACCACGAAGGCAAATAGGGAGCGCATGGGTGAATCCCAATCGAAACAACTCTGCACATAATCTCGAATTTCCACCAATACCAAGAGGAATTCTCGAAGTCTGAAAAAATTCGGACTTCTAGATTACCTTGAGAAAATGATAACAGTTTAGATTTTGTTATATTTTGCGATATTTCTTTTCTTTTTTTTGAAACTTTCAAGCGAATCTGAAGGCATCGCTGGTTTTTGGTTTCCTAAAGCTAAATATCTGAAGATAAAAATATTCTGCTCAGGTGAACTTCGTCCAGAAACTTTAGTTTAATCAAATCTCTTTATTTATGAAAGTTGCGTTATATCAAATTCATGGTAGTAACTTTATATCAGTCGATGTAATCATCCGTTGGTTGAATTATTGGTTAATATCGCATACATCAAATTTTTGCGAACCTTGTGTAACTATTTATGAAAAGACGTCGTTTAAATTTTGGATCTCTCTGCATGTATTTCCGTTCACGTGGAGTAAAAGTACGGATTGCTGCACGAATCTATGAAAAAATTTTTATTTTGGGAAAACCAAATCGGAAAGTGAAACTGAAAAATTTGAAAGCAATTGGATTTCTGTATAACTTATTACATAGATTTTGAGTTTGCATAATAAGTCTGCAAAGGAAAAAAATGCATTATATAGCTCATATCCTGAAAATTACCGGATTCCAGACGATATCCATTTCCAGCAGTATTTGTCCCTTAACTTGTGTTCGCAATTTTCGATCCTTCAAAGCATACCATTTTGGCTCGCAATTTTGAATCTGCAGGAAAATGATCACCTACAATATCTAATAATTAAATCGATTGTTCATAAATGGACTTTTCTCCTTCGATCTTCTTCCCACCCACACTTTTTTTTACGGTATAAATAGCAACTTTTGGTAGTACCTGCAGCAATGGAATCGCAATTTTGCCCAGGAATTCTGCTTTCTTGTTTGGATCTTCATCAGAAATAGTTATTTCGACTATTGAATGAATATCTTTTACCGCACTAAAATATTTCAAATTGCATTTAAAAGAAATAAACAATATTTTAATTAAACCAATGATATCTATTGGTGTCATTTAAAATACGACCATTAATTTATTTTGGTTGCATGAATTCAAAAACCTGAATTATGGTATGAATGGCATAAAATGTAAATATGAAATATGAAATGATCGGAACAAAATACATACAACGTGAAAATTTTGTTCCATTCCGGATTAATTGTTTTGTATTCCGTATGTGTTTGCAATAATGCATTCACCAATTCAACCACCACAAATGGATTGCTTTTATTCATCGCATCAACCGATGCCAAGTTTCGAGCACAAAACACTCCAAGAATCATTGTTTGCAGATATATGGATGTGTGGATTATGTGTGTATGGGTGTAGGTGGATATATGGATGTGTGAGTGTGGGTGGATATGTGGGCGTGCGAATGTGGGTGGATATGTGAGTGTGTGGATGTGCGTGGATATACGTGGGTGTTCGAATGCATGCGACTGCGTGGGTATGGGTGAGTGTGAGTGTGAGTGGGTGTTTGTATCTGCAGGTTCAGGACTTAACAAAAATTTTGTGATTAGGTTAATGGACGAATTATTGAGATTTACAATCAGCTTGATATACCTAATCTAAAATTATTTATGTAATAAAAAATTAACCTTTCACAGTAAGAAAACCAATATCACGGAAGCATTCATGCGTTCTTCGCAAACTCTGCAAACATTTAATATGACAATATTTTATTAAGTACACCGAAATTTCGCGGAAAGAGAAGTATCTTACTATGTATAGTTCCTGTTTGAAATCCGTTTCATCATTTTGAGAAATTCATGTGATCATGGAAAGTTCGCATAAAATTACGGAAATTCTCGAGAAACCGTGAAACTAACATATTTTTCAATGATAGCATTCCTTACATCATCACCGGAAAAATCAGACAAATCAATAATTGCATCGGTAGACGATGTACCTGTTACTGATATGAGAACGAGAATGGAACCTGAACCAATCGAAAGTATTTTGTAACGAAAAGTAACAGTTGCTAATATTTTTATCATTCCATGCTTATATTTTAATTCCATCTCTTCCCAGTCAAATTAGAATAATTAAAACTTCTACATTTGAAACATCAGAACTGTCTTTTAATTTGGATCGGATTTTAGACCATTTCAAAGATTCAATTTGAAATAATATAAAATCTGACTTATGCATAACCTCTTACGGTAGTTTTTACCAGAAATTACTTATTTATCAAAACTTTCTTTTTTACTGCCTTTCGTTCTACAATACTCTACAACTATCAAAGGTAGTACAAAACATGAAAACAAAAAATGTCGAACATCTTACCAGTACCACGATCAAGTTCACAAAACATCTGATTCGGAGTTTCTTTTTCCAACTTGTCTAAATCTAAACTGCATCTAAAATATCAAATAAATCATCCATTTTCCTTCAGGAGTTCTTTACTCATTTTGATTAGTGTACTAAATAAATAAATTCCATCCTAAAAGTTTGCTTAACTATCATTACTTCATTTATAATTAATTAATAAATGATGACTGATATGTTCACTATTAATTCGTTCATTACATTAGTTTTAGCACAAACTTTGTGTAATGTTTTATTTTCCTAAGGAGTTGACAGTAAGCAAAATCAAATTTGGGGTGACAATGATGAAATTGAAGCTGCGGGAAGAAGGGAATAATGGAAATATGGGTGAATCGATGATGTGATTACAATTTTTCCTCTAAGTGCTGGTGAAAAGGATGAGGTGAAGGTGTCTTATTAAAATTTAGACTTAATGAGATTCTTAAAATTTTGAGGAAAAAGAGAGAAATTTAATTTAATTTGATTTGATTATAGTTTTTAAAAAAAGCAACGTGTGGAATAATTAGTGAACGACCGAAAAGGACACCTCAAAAAAGTATATCACCTTCTTTCCCTTTTCGTTTACTTATAAATTTTTTTTGACGAATTTCTAAAATTTGTACGGCTTGCAAATTTTCAAAAATTACTATGCTTAACAAATTTTTAAAGGTTATTTGGATGAACTTTCCAATATTTTCTTTCTGAAAATGAATAGAATTATTGCTTTCCCCACATAGTTTAAACTCCATTACTTATATTTAATTTTACCCTAAATTTTATTGTATCTAATTTCCTTTTCTTCTCCCCAGCATAATGAATGAATTGATTTTAATTCATCGTAGGATAAACAATAAACATAAAAAATAGTTTATTTATAAACAATATGAACCTCCCAATATCTAAATTCGTTTTCTTATCAATAACCATCATCTCAAGTGTATGTTTTGGTTCATCGAACATATGCAGATCGAATTGCTCCAACCATTTCGGATTACTGCTCCGTATTACGGGCTATAATTCCGGCAAGTCTATTATAATTCAATAATAGGTTGTTGTTCGTCTTCCGTGACATTAGTAATAAAAAAATTAATGTCTAAAAGTCTTTAATTACTCACAAATATGAATGAAAATAAATGTAATTATACCCTGCTTTTATATTTCTCGCTTCCAAGTTTAAATTTTACAAACGGATCTGGAAAATTGTTTTCGGGGTTATCTGCCATCATCAAATTTCGCCCTTCGATTAAAACAATGTTTACAATTGATGACCAAACTTGTGTCACTGCAAAGCAATTTTATCTAATTATTAAAAAAAAAAAAATCGTAAAAGACAGACAAGCTTTAAAAAATTTCTAAAACTGTCGAATGCAATGACTTTTGGAGATATGCAAAATTTTAGAAACTCGTAATAACAAATTAATTTATAGATAAGCAAGTAGACAAAGTGAAAAGAAGGGAAGAAGATTAAAATTAAAGCTAACATACTTTTTTGAGGTGTCCTTTTCGGTCGTTCACTAATTATTCCACGCGTTGCTTTTTTTAAAAACTATAATAAAATCAAATTGAATTAAATTTCCCTCTTCTCTTTCAAAATTTTAGGAATCTCACTAAGTCTAAATTTCAATAAGACACCTTTACCTCATCTTTTTCACAAGCAGTTAGAGGAGAAATTGTGATCACAACATCGACTTCACCCATATTTTCATCATTCCCTTCTTCCCGCAGTTTCAATTTCATTGTTGTCATCCTAAATTTTATTATCTTTGCTTTGCTTACTTGCTATCAACTTGTCAAAACATATTTGTACATAGCGTATTTACGGGTAACTCACTGAAAAAGTCTTAATTGACTGAGATCGATAACAGCGCCACCCATATAGTCATCAGTTGCCCAACGGTCATAATCATATACGTCCATACAAATTGGTGTGGTAGGATCGTCTATTAATAATGTAAATTCTTCATCCCAAATTGGATTTAAATTCTTATAAATTGTTGAACTTTTGAAATAAGTTCGACTTTTATATTTAAATTTGACGTACGGATCACTGCTTCCTGTAAAATTAATTCAGAAAATGAATCTTCATTTTCAGGAAAAAAAGTATAGAATGTTTAACTAATTTATTGAATATCCAGATAACCTACTAAAGTTAAGTTTCTTTGCTAGAATATTTCAAGTCATATAGGATTGACCTGAAGCATCTCGAATCACCAAATTGTGTCCTTCCTTCAAATATATTCGCACCGAAAATGTTACGTAAACTTCCGGATTTGAATCTTTCGTCATAACACTGTGATTTTGTTCATTTGTTGTCTGGAAAGAAATGAAATATATTTGCTAGTGATATGTTACTCAACAATGAGTTTAGAATCAATATTTAAACCCATCGATTAACTTAAGCGCCAATTATATCCTCGAAGATCGAAAAACAATGAATCCATTACAAAAGGTTTTATAATTTACGTTAGTCCGATCTATCAGTTAGTATATTTTTTTTAATATTCGTTACTGAAAGCCGAATGAAATACTTCATTTTTTTTTCGGAACTTAGAATCATTTAAGATTTGCCACTTCGTTCAAAGAATTTAATTCTGTGTTGCTAAATTCACCCAGTGACTAGAATTATTTAGAAAGATGCAAAGGTGGAAAGAAAAATTCTTACAGATGACATGAATGGAGTGGACAGCATGTCACCCATTTCATCAACTGAAGTGTTATCTTTCTTCATTTGTCTTCGATACCGTCTTTCACCTGACTCTCTCTTGAAGACACCTTTTAATAATGATGAACTCATCACAATCTATAGATGTGATTATAGCTAAAGTTTCAGGTATAAGTTGTTCAAGCTGATCGAAAATAATTCATTTAATTAAAAAGCAATTAAACAACAACCAACTAGCTATCAATTCTTCTTAGCAATGTTGGGAAAAATTATCAAAAATTATCAAATTATCAAAATTATCAGAAATTATCAAAAAAAATTACCAAAGGGAAAAATTATCAAAAGAATGTAAGGTTGTCTTTTTTGTGAAAAAAAAAAAACTTCAACAACTTTTTACTTTCTATTCTACATCTACTTAGAGCTTAGAGTATACTCGCTTTTTGTTTTACCAGATCAAAATTACTATAATAAATTCTTTTTGTATGCTTTCCATACTTTTAATAACTTTCAGTGTTTGTCCAATTTTGCTAATTACCATAGATACTATTAATTATCACTAGCAAAAACATAGTATGAGTGGGTTTAATAATTAGGATATCCTGTAACAATTTTTGTAAATGCAAAAGGAATTGATGATACTATAACCAAAAAACATTTACGTTCATTAAGATGGATGTTTAATAATATTCTCATTGCAGAAAGAGAGAATTCTAACATTAATACCAATAAAAGTAAAGAAGTTGAATTAGTCATACTTGATTCGAATTAGTTACGTTTGATGCAAATTAGTTTATCCGTAATCATTTCAGACTTAGCAAAATAGCAAAAGTGTCCTCATTATATTGTGTTATTAAAATATCCTTTATTGCTGTTTGATATGCTCATGGAAGAAAAAACAACATGAACTTTATTAAGCCAATAAATTATATTCATCGAAAACATGAATTCATAATTATTAAAACTATTGAGAAAAAAAAGAAAAACAGCAGGACTAGAAGTAATTTAGCAGTAATGTTAATTAGCAGTTTTTTTTTTTAAAATCTGTTACGAGACTTAAAAAATTATTTAACTGATGAAGTATATGAATAAAACCATGAAATAGAAAAAAGACAAGCAGCAGGGTAGTGTTAAATAATAAATGATCCAACTTTGTTTGAATAAAATATTTCATCGCCAATTACGACATTAATATTCGATCCGAAACATGTATTATCACTGCATATAAAACGGAATAATATTTCAAGTACGCTTTATATGAAGTCCTTGCCAAACAAATCAAACGAAACAAATAGAAAGAATGGAGAAATAAGCTGCTATTGAACAAAAATGATAGCATCCACAAGAAGCGCCACATTTGGACAACTGTTTCAACATTTGAATTTAAAATAAATCAATAGGACAAGCAGGAAAAATCACTCAGTACATCAATCAAAATCATAAACATGCTCTAAAATGCTTGATTATAACTTTCTTTTTCTCTATATCATTAATATAAAAATATACGGAAGGAAGGGAAGAGGGTGAGAAAGGGGTAGGGAGTAAAAAAGGGAGTAGGAAAAACGGAAAATCGAAATATATATTATTAATACTTATAATCATTCCCACCTTCATTAACAATCATATCGCATTTAAAGGATTACATTATGTTTGGTTAACGAATATCTGAATGACCTAAGGATTGAAAATGGCTAAGATGTTCTGCTGATAAGAGTATAACCTTAAAAATTACACTCCTCACGTTTACTTCGATCAGATCACTGACATTATTTAATTTAGAAACGATCAACGCATTGCAGCATAGAAATTAAGGACTAAAAAACTTTTGAAACTTTTGCAGCAATTGAAAACTTCTACATTGTCGTATCTTTCAAATTTGCCAAATTTTTTATTTTGCTTGAAATTGACTATGATATAATTCATCGTTATTTATGCACTTCAAGTATTTTTCAAAGCATATCGTTTGTGCTAAAGCAACATAATCATTAGAAGATTGATAGAACGAAGTGCAAAATATAATGGAGAAAATTGTCTGCTGACTTAAATAAAAATAATTTGGATTTATTCCACTCATGGAATTATTTAAAATTATTTCAAGAATAAGTCGTGCGTTTTGAATCACTTTGTATTAATATTTAATTAAATTTCATGGAAAAATCAAACTTGGTGGGAAAAAAACGTTTGAAAGTCATTCCGGAAATGTATTGATGCATCGAAATCGGCCGGAGATCTATATTTTAAGAAGGAATTTGAGAAACTTTCTTTTTATATGTTCGTGAAAATGAAAGAATAGAAAATATATCGGAAAACTCTAATGAAAAACATTGTTTTGCATACAATTGACATCATATCCCTTAATTTTCTTTCTTTTAATTTGAAAATAGCATCAAACAAACATATAAGCTATAATTTCCATATCGTTTTATTAGAAAAATTTTCCAATGTGACTACCACAAATGAATTTTATTTCCCACTTTTTTATTGATATTACTCGAGCTCCCTTATTTGTGGACAATTATTTTAAGTTAATGTGAACAGTATCGCAACTTCGAAGAGTCAGTCATTTCTACAAGAATGTCATTTTTTTTCAAATTTTATTCGCCATGCATGAATTGATATTCAGCATCATTTATGTGTGTTCATCATAATAATGTTCTCACCAAAGATAGCTTTAAAACTTAGAAAGATTTCAATATTTCTGCAATGTCCCGCTCATTTGTTGTATGTCATATAAAAACACATGTTTTCCACTTTGTCTTATGAACAATCGCTAACAAAGAAATAAACAAGTCAAAACTGAGTGATATTTCATATTCTAAGCATAATGTTTGAGAAGTGCAAAAAAAGAAGCACAAATCAAAAGGTTGTAAAGCAGAAAAAAATTTTAAATTATTTGACTTTTAGTTTTTAAATATGGGAATAAGCAATAAAATGATATTCGAATTTCTTATTTCGTCGCGAAATTGATACTTTACAGCTTTGTTAGTTTTAAATCCTAAACAATGAGAACGAAAATAAAACATTACATGGAAGTCACTTGGCTTATTATTTGCATGGACAAAAAGTCATTAAAAAAAGGATAAATGAA